AAGGGCAGCATTTGATGTTGCATCCATGTACACGGACCAAGACTCAGAAACCATTCATTTCCTGCTCTTGATCAAGGTATGTTACAGTTGCTTCGCATAGTGTCCGCTTTCTCACGTATTTCAGGTTATCGCGCTGTTCAACGCAGATCAACATGACGAGGCAAACCTGCTCCTCAAAGAACTCACTACCGGTTGTCCGAATGCCGATACTCTCGCATGTCGTGTCGTGCAAGTAAGTACCTAGCATCCACGTTTACTCATCTTTACAACTCGCACACTAGGCATACCTATGTGTTGAACTTGGACTCAAAGCCTTGGATGGCGCGCGTCACGATGAAGCCGCCGGCCATTTCACTGCTGCTATCAACTCCGGCGCTTTCTCATCGAAATTCATTCATGAGATATACGAGGACTTGGTCGTGGTGCGTTAGGATGATGCATACACAATGCTTTTCATAACTGATTGTCTTTTCCAGCTCTTTGCTGGGACCTGGAGTCATTGTGGCAAAAGGCACACCAGAAGCACTGTGATGCACTCCTTCGGGCAGGTAAACTTCAAGATGCCGTGAAATCATTCCGATACATGATTCACAACATCGACGACACAACGACGGGCAACTGGTTTGAATGGTCCAACGGCAAGTTAGGAGTTCGCAATGTCGCGCAGGCTACAATTCTCACCCCCATTTCACTCAGCTTTCACGGAAAAATGCAGCGCGCCCTTCTCTACCAGCGGAAATGTTGCCCTCGCTGCAAGCAATTGCGACAGGGCTATCGACCTATACCCGACGGCGATCGACCTACCTTCTCCATCCGATGCTGTCTTTGCAAATCGTTGTAAGGAAAAGTTGGGAAAAAGCTATGGATGGAAGCACTTCTCGATGCGCAGAAGGTGCTATGGCATTCATTGTTTCTTCACCTATGCTCATCGTGATGATACACAGGTCATCCAACTCGACCCTTCGTCTCATGTTGGATACAGGTTGAAGCATGCAGCATTTCATGGCGCACAGCGTTATGATGAAGCTATTGGCGGCTTTCCAAACGATGCTCTCAAAATTGGATCGTACTTCCGACGCTGAGACACGAAGTAAGCCCCAATAACTCAGATGCCAACATGCTTTAATTATTTCTGCAGAGTTGCGCGAGCAGTATCTCGGTCCATCCGAAGTGGACTGCGCTATTCGAAAGATCATCGATACTCAACTTGACAATGCTCCGATGCGTGTACTCGACACTACCACCGGACTCTTATGCGATCGAGAGGCGCAGATACGCACCTTCAAATCGAGCATAGAGTACAAGGAGCTTGTATCATCAACAATCACGCATTCTGACTTCCGAACGAAGCGCATCAAAGAAGTGGTGATGACGTATTTCCAATATGCCATGTTATCGCATAGGTGGGAAGGCAAGGAACCGCTACTGCAGGATATTCAGGGCAAGGTCGTCTATAAGCTGGATCCGGTTGGCGGCATCACAAAATTGCAGTCCTTCTGCAAAACTGCTCGTGATTTGGGCTATCGCTGGGCATGGAGTGATACATGCTGTATTGACAAGAGCAACAATGTTGAGCTCCAGAATCGGTCAACTCCATGTTCGTCTGGTATCACCACTCCGCGCTCACAGTTGTATACCTCTCGGATGTTCCAGCTTCGTCAAAGTCTGGCGCACTGGCAAATAGCGTTTGGAACACACGCGGATGGACGGTTCAAGAATTCCTCGCACCCAACATCATTCTATTCTATCAGAAAGATTGGACTCTTTATCTCGACGATCGCACTCCCAACCACAAAGATTCCGTCGCGATCATGCAAGAGTTGGAGTACGCGACAGGCATAGATCGGCGAGCCGTCATGGCCTTCCGTCCTGGGATGAGAGACATCCGAGAGAAACTTCAGTGGGCGTCGACACGTATTACCACGCTGCAAGAAGACATCGCATACTCATTATCCGGCGTCTTTGGCGTCCGCCTACGTGTTGATTATGGTGAGAAGAAGGCAGAACGCACTCGGGCGGCTCCTGCAGGAAATCGTAACTCAGTCGGGCGACACCACAGCCCTGGACTGGGTCGGAAAGTCATCGGAGTTCAACAGCTGTCTACCAGCCGACATCACTTCAATATGAAGCTCCACCATGCAAGCTGCCATCTCTATCCGAAGATGAGATTCAGTCATCGGTCTCCTCGCTGCGAGGTATTGTGGCTGTAGAATCGGCTTCAAAATTATATCAGACACTTGACTACCTGAGCGCTCCCCGTTTCGCGTACCGCCGGTTACATCTGCCTTGCATCGTATTCCCAGTCACAGAAGCTAGGTGGAGGCGAGGTCGAGACCAGGATACATATTCGTATGAACTCAAATCAGGCGGGCTTCACGACTTGCAAATCACCACGGCAGACAAGTTGATCCCATTCTCGCCTGTAAGGCCGCCGCCCGCTTGGCAAACAATCTTGCTTGTTCGTCCATGGAGTCGCCGTCTCCTTGAGTTGCATGACCCTGCAGACGATACACGGAGAGCAGAAGATCAGTCCGTACCCGAATCTTCGTCGCACGATTCACTCCCTGCACAAACTGAACCGATTTATTCGGATTCTCACTCGCGAGCATTGCGATTGATTGTTCGCCTTGGACAGCCTTTTAGTGCATTTTTGTTAGCGCGGCAGCGCGACGGGGAATTCAAGAGGATCGCGTCGGATCATGATATCATTGCACAGGTAAAAGACATGACTTCTGTTGACGACATGATGGTCATTAGGACACTAGAGATACTGTAGTTGTATGGATTATTCTAAAATTTTCTGAGCGGTTTTCGTTTGTACCTTAACGATACAAGTTAGTAGCATACACAGATATATACCAGCTGACTTGCATAAAAGCGGACGTGAACTTGGGGACAAACAAGATAATTCGTGTACGTAGAAAATTAGTGAAGGACCGGATAATCTCAAGGACGCTTCATTCCAAATTCCTTGGACAAAAACGACCAATACAGAAGGTGCCACTATCAGTATCACTGGGCGCATAGCATCCCACGTGCCCTCTCAACACCCTCATTCACCATTTGCAAAGCAACCTCAACATTCCGTCACATGCCCCTCTCTTCTCCTTCGAAACTGCAGAAGGCTCCTGGTCACCATTGACCAAACCGTGGTTTCTTGCACGTCGCAACGAAATCTGGGTCTCTGCCGGACACCCCAGCATGCCGGGTCACGCCTTCCGCATTGGTGGAGCGGGAGCCACAGAACTGCTATTAGAAGAGGTCCACCCAAACGTCGGCGCCAGGGTCGTTGGAAATCACGTGCTTTCCTGTACGGCGTCAGATCGAATCCATCCTTCCACTTTTCATTTCTACTGCCATTAACTCCCCCCTTGCAATCCCCCGCTTAGAATCCATCATGCTCGATTTTCCAACGCTCGCATTCCCTACCTAATACTGCATTTTCTCGTGTATAGCTGTCTCTGTTCCTGTATTCCTTACCGTTCCCCCCTTGCAATATGTGCTGTTTTCTTGCGCCTACGTCTCGTGTTGTGTCTGAGTTCAGTTCCTCGAAGAGGAAGTCGAGCCGTGCTCGTTTCTCTGGTGTGATCTCGTTTTTTCCTCTTTGCGGTTTTTCTTCCCTCTTCCCGCAACTCGAGACTAACCTTTTCACGCTCAGAAGGTTTGGTTTATTCTCCGCGCTCAGCTTGTTCTCAACTTCTCGCTGACTCCGAACGCTGCGTCCAAAAAAAACCCTCCCAGATTGCACCTACGGCCGCGGTCTGGCAAAACCAGACCTTCCCCAGTCAAAACTCACGCTCCTCTCGACATCATCTTCAGCACCCAACCTCGTTGTCTGCCACTTACTCTTTGAAGTCCACTTCTCATTCAGCAGACCCTCTCACCCATCCCCTTCCATATGCAAGTGCACTCTAACTGATTAGTCGAGCCCTCCTGCCTTAAGACTAATCATTGTCCACTCGGTCATTCTCAGTGCAGCGTCAATACACAGCGAGTCGATTAGACCCTCTCTCTAAGCAACGTCACACGTCACATCACCCCTTAAAAGAGGCCCCTAATATTACACTAATCTCTCAATGAAACCATGACTGAATACATTCTACAACAATTTTCTGCAGTGGTCAAGAACTTCCTTCAAATATTCAAGGACCCGTCGAACGATCCGCCAGATCCGCTCCCTCCCAACATCCAAACCTTTTTTCCCACTCACTCCAATGACCGAACCAATGCCATTTTCTGGACCGGCGAGGTTCTTAGTCTGCATCTTGTCATTTCGAAAGAGTCCACATTCCTGCAAAAACTTCAACACTGCAAAATTTTGCAATCACCAGCTCACGAATTCCTTGTTGCGTACTTCATCACAGAGATAGACGGCACAAGCTACGAAATGGGGGTAACATTAGATCGCCATCCAGCAGCGCTGACCGGTTTTGATATCGCTGTTACCACGGAACCTGAAACTATCTAAGCACTGCCCATCCAAATTCCCATTAGCTTCCACGCCCTCTTCCGGTGACGCCATGCAAGATACGGGAAAGAGCGGTGGACATTATCTCCGAGCCATACACAATGTCATGATGCCTGAATTTGGAACATGGCGTGGACTCGAGCGCATAGCTGGAGAAGCGTATGGACCATACAAGGTTCTCAATACCGTCGAAGATACACTCATGTTAGCAGCACAATTCGCTACGCTCATCGAGGTCATCGAGGATTTTGCACCTATGTACACACCAATGTACCAGTGTTTGTGGTTCGCCATGTTTTTCTTTTCCATGGTCAGGGACGAAACAGGTAGTAAAGAATATCCCTGCAAGGATATAGATGAACCGGGCAAGCAATTAGGCGTGATAGAGGCTTCGCTTGATCCTTGTGATGATGAGGAGACAGTGAGTTATCACTATCGTCGGGTATGTGTTCAAATCATATATCTTCCAAGTTATTTAACTCATAGATCACCCAGAGAATTACTCAACTTTGAGGCAAGCAAGGTCAGAAATGCAGCCTGTAGTTGCCGTTCGTCTCGTTGGGAGACGTGTGCTCCAGCGAGCCCTATCCCAGTTTCGTGGAAGTTGTCTTTTTCATGTTAAGTTGTCCGTATGCACCCACAGTTACAACTGGTCAAACATAGCTTCGACTGTGGTGAGAGCGCACTTAGGTAGACCGCCGAGACGTGTAGGTGGCAGGTCGTGTTTCTGCTGCTAGAGGGGTTTCATGGACGTGCCGGGTATTTCAGTTCATATTGTAATATCTACATAAAGTTGAAGCGGTATGTTATTGGCTCACCGGTACGCTCAGTCCTCGTCATTCGCTTAAGACCGCAAAGCTGCACATGGACACTCGTGCCATCGGACCTAGTTACACACGGGTGGTTTGGGAGTTTTTCACTATGTGAGATTGGTTTCAAAATGTCAGTGATAAAGTTGGCGTTTTGACTATACATTTTGACCGAATAAAAATAAAAAATTTGGATGTGTGCCAAAATCCCAGGTGAAATTCTACATTTTATGTACCATTTTGAGCGCCATAAAGTACAAAGTTTTGAGCGCAGGAAAGTTTTCCTCAGAATTTCATGTAACTAGGTACATTTTCCGATTGCAGCATAATCAAATTTTTTGCAAGTTAAAATGGGGAACGTAAAATGTGAACTTTTAGCACGAGAAAAATGACGTGGGCACTCATCGGGCACTCATCGGGCATTCATCGGGCATTCATCGGGCATTCATCGGGCACTCGTTGGTGTTGGGTACTCATCAGGCATTCACTCATCAGGCATTCACTCCACTGACAAATGCACTATATTGTAAACTCGTGAACAACTAGAATACGAAGATACATGGTTAAGTAAGGGACGTAAGTGCATCCAGGTCAGCTATCGAGCTGAGATCATCACCATCATCGTCCGCATTATCTAGCCTACGCCGCTTGCCAGACACTGTGATTTCTACCCCTGAGGCAAATAACAACTGGGACTTCGTGACCAAGACTGGTTCGTACTTCTCTTCCGACTTGAGTTTTTGCAGAACAGCAGAGTCTGCGACAGGCCAACCGGATAAATCAAGATGATCGTTGAAAATGCCTATCACGGCGTCGTGTGAGCCCAGGACCTTCATACCTATCTCCTTCTGGTAAACAGGGGAGTCCGTCATGAGCGCATATGAAGCTGCCAACAGGTCTTGTACGACAGGGACATTTCGCGTCGCTTTCTCGTGTGCGAGCCGGAATTTATTATATACCGTCTGCTGATGCTCAGTGACCCGCGTGTACCGATGCGAGAAGAACTCAGCGAGTGCATGGATGAGACTGTCGAGCGGTTTGCAGTCGACATACATAAGATTGGGAAGATTGCTTCTCCCGATGAGCCAATCTGCTTTCGAGGATGATCCGGGATTGGTTTCGAAGACCTGTGTTATGAGTGATGTCCGGCGAACGATGTCCATGTACGTCTCCTTGTACTTAAGAGTCGTCCACAGAACGACGTAAAAACTGGACTCAAGGTCATCCTTGACCGAGTGTATGGCATATTTATGCTCGACGAGGTATGCAGACATGAATTGCCAAGTTCCCTTAGTGATAGCAAAATAAGTACGAGATTTAAAGCGCGTGGAGTGAACATACCGTGCGTGTCGTTTGTCGGGGACCGTTAATGTTAACCAACTTTGCGAGGTCCCAGTCAATCAGGTAGCCCTTCCCTTTGTAGATGACGACGTTTCCAACACTGAGGTCTCGATGGAGCACCTTCGCGAGTTCAAATGCATCCTTGTGAGCTACGGTGATAGATCATGAATAAGTTGTGTGAGGATTAAAAAGACACGTACCAATCAGTGCATCACGCACAGACGAAACGAGTTGATGAGAACTCTCAAACTCGGTCAAATTTTTGCCCACAATATCGAGGGCCAGACGGTGATGAGTGTGCGGAGTGAGAGGCAAGTGGGGAAGTGCCCATTCAGCACTGCCGAACTTGGCAGTTTGAGTAGATTGCTGAGCGATAGAGGGGGGTACATCATGATATGCAATACACTTTGGAATATGGGCAACTTTTTTCGACATCAATAACTTGTACGTTTCGCCTTCCGGTAAGACATTGGGTAACGATACCCGCCAAGAGTCCTTGAGCATCACGAGCTTCTTGTTGACAAGATCGAATGCCGGACATGCGCGTGTCCAGCGGCCAACAGGCGAGTGAGGTTTCGTAACAGGTTGGGGAAAGACCAATGTCACCGAGCCAGAGCCCTCGACATGAGGGACATCAACTTTGAACATACGAGTGGTACTGGGGATATTTAGCCGTGACCTTGCGAGGTTGGCCTCCTCGTCGCCAGCAAGCGTGACGGAAGTATCAACACCACGCATTTCAGGCGATGCCCGTGCGTAACGATAGAAGAAGTCAGCCAAGTGTGGCTTGTTATTGTAGTCGATGGGGCTGGTGACGATAGCCCCCTCCCTATCCCATCTGATGATCCGAGCGCGATCACGCACGATTAGGACAGAGAATACGTGGGTACGGAACTGGGTGCCGAGCTGAGCTGCAGTATAACTCGTTATTTGTCCCAGGGTGTCCATACCCTTCTCCGTCTGGGACACGAGGCTATCAGCTCCAGGTTGACGGAATGCGTCGTGTGAGGGTGACCATTTGAATTCTATGATGATTTCTGTGGTAGAAACATCACAGTTGGGAGATGAAGGTTCGCATCCATCGGGATACACGCAGACGTCCGGCTTAATGTTGAATACCTTTGAATTTAATCTCGAACACGTGTCTTCGTATTTGTGAGTGTCGACAAACGACAGTTGAGGAGCGAAAGGTTTGATGGCGTTAATCTGGGGTTAGGCGATCAATAATCTCAATAGCGTATGTGCGAGGGTATACTCACGAAGGGTGTGTAGCATGTTCCTCATTTCTAACAGAGACCGTGTGGTTGAATGCGCCAACAGCGAAGGCTGAAGTGAAGGACGAAGGATCATAATCGGGAATCTGAGAAGTTGGTAAAAATTCCTGGAGAAAGTCCCCAGCTGGCATCGGGCCGACGAAGTACCCTTTCATCTCTTTACCCATAGCATTGATAGTTTCGAGCCGGCATCGTGTTAGAGTCGTAAAGGGCAGCATGGTAGAACTGTCCCGTTTGATAGGAGTATCAATGACGTCATTGGGACCTAGATAGGGGCCGTCCGAAATAGGACACGTAACTGGTTCTACGGTAGAGGTACCTTCGAGAGGCACTGCAACGTTCATGATGGGTAAAATGTACAGGGTATGTGTGTGACAATATGTATAAGAGATACGGATATGTATGTACAGAAAGGCTAACGGCAATAACGGATGATATATTCCGAAGAGGGAAGAAGGGAAAAAAGATAACATCTACATTTGGACCCTTTATAGTGAATGACTCAGACTCAGTTCGGATTTTCCCGGATCCAGAACCCCGCTGCAAATGGGTGAATCTGCGTTTTGAAATTCAGTCCTATACATCGTGAGATAATGACGTGTGAAAAATGGGGAGGGACATACTCGACACAAGGACACAGCAACAATGTGCTGCGGAGAAAATTTCCATCGTGTGAAGTGTGATACTACCCACTCAGGTTTGACAGTTTCGAGATGATCGACGAGCACTGTAGAATGTAAACGAGCCGGAAAGTAAGGATAGTGTCTGAAAGGATCGAGGTGAGAATGCAGAGGGAGGTAACGCCGTACGGCAAAGCCCACTACTCGCTCCATCTCGAAAATGTACTTGATGATCCCTGGTGTTGGGGGGACGTTCCTGATACCGCCATGATAATAGAGGATCAGGCTGTTGCCTACATGGGTGGAGTCACGGGTATAGATGGATCCCTCATAGAATGTGCGAGCGTGCAAGATTGCCCGCCGAACCTGGATAAGTTGATGGAGGTCGTCTGGAATGACTTGTTGTGTAAGGGGGCGATCTTTGGACACAGAAATAGGATCAGTGTCGACTAAGGGAGACACGAGTCTGTTGAATAGAGACTTCACCTCCCTAAACACGGGAGGACAAGAAGGTCGGTTTAGCCAATACTTAAGCTTTGCCGCCTTCATGTATGAGTGAAGGAGAGTGGATTCTTGCTGACCTGCGTGAGGCACGTAAGTCCGTTATTGACACAGAAGTTAGAATCGTACCGAAAATGTGATTGTTGGGCAACCGTTGCAGCTGCCCGATGAGACGCTCGTATGGGAAGCACCACCATGACCTTACTGGACCGAAGAGCTGCAAGTAGTCCCAAACATGCAACGCCATATGGCCATTTGTGCGATGGGGTGCACGTGGAAGCAATACCTGCAGGTCCCTCATCCAGTCGATAATGCATGCACGGTATGCTTCTACTCGAGCCGTTGTCATAGATCGTTGACACACGATGTGGACAGCAGATATGAGGGCCATCGTATGATCAAGGATCGCACGACGACTGACTGCGATTTCCGACGTGCGGTGAGTAGATCCCTCGCCCCACAAGCTAACCAGAGCTATGGGTAAGTATAATGTCGTTAACGTGCGCCATTCATCGGCCTTCAGGGTTCCAGCTTTTGTTTCCCCAAAGTTACGGGGGACTGATCTTATCGAGGATGGCGTATCCGTCGTCCTAATCACATCAGTAATGCGTCGCATGACCTCTGGGGTAGCAATGCGCAAGTTTGACAGCTCAGGCGCGAAAGGTTGAGTTCGACGCTACACAGAGGCAGCTTAAGAGTGTACAATAACACCAACAATATAAAATACTCACCCAACTGATGAGCGATCTAACCCAATAGGGTTTGAAGACTTTTTTGCCAGCGTGAGGGATGTCTGGCGTGATACCCAATCCTTCCGACACAAACCGAAGGGATGCAACTGTCTTGTTCAACAATTTTCTCTCTAACTGCGCGAGGTGATCCTCGATAAGCTGTGGGTCATTCCCTTCAAGGTTGGGGACTGCTTCAGTAAGGAGACTCTGAATTGATTTGACAACTCTGACGTCTTTTTCTGGGAAGTCTTGAGGTTTGTTGAGGTCGACGTCAAGGAAGAGATAAGTAAAAGCAGGGATAACATCAGGCTTGCGATGTGCGGAATCAGATGTAAGGCCTA